TGGGTGCTTAAATCTCAGAATTTTGATTGATGTTTAGTAGTTATTACAGAACTCATCAGAGAAAATGAGGCCTTGGTGTGGTTAAGCCTGACTGAAGCTTTCAAAGCCACTGCAAACTTAAGAATGTTGCACTATAAATTGTTTATAAAGGGACGGTTGATCATCAGTTGTTCCATTTTTTCTTATGTTGGTTAATTTCATAAAAAATATGCTGAGACTTAACTGTGTGGAAGAAAGCTGTTTAATTAAGTGATTAAAGCAATCCCTTTGATGTAATACAAGCAAGACATTTGAGAATTTACCTGACTCCCCTAAATAGCCGAGTCAGTGGGGATTAAAACAAATGAGCTTTCCTTCTTGCTTTCTGCCGATCAGCTTAATACTAAGTGGCTTTGAAAATTCAGGAGTAAAGCAGTCACCTTAATCATTCTTTAAATCAGTTTGTTCATCTGTGTAAAAATTACATGCTGTTTCAGAGCTCGTAGCCAAATAAAGCAGAATTATGTTCGGTTCTGTTCTTTCTCCCAGCACTATCAAGTTGTAGGGTACCTTGTGGAACACTCTAGGAGGGAGGGGTGGCTTGAGAGTTTAAATCATGTTGCCTTTTAAATTCCCAATGTTCCTTATTCTTCTGAGTTCATTTGTGATATTTTCTCTCCCTCAAAGTAATAACCTCTATAAACTCTGTCGTCTCCACAGAAATTGTGCTTTTTAAAGCTCTAGCCCTAAGATTTTAGGACAAGGAATAAACTCCCGGGCAATTAAGATTTGTTGCATATACATGTTAGTAATAGCAAAGAGCAAAACAAAAACATTAGAAGTTGCTATACGACACGTGTACAAGCCCGTGTGCACATGCACTCACACACATACACACACACACTTCATACTGTTCAGTTTGGCAAGCATTGTTGAACACTTAGTATATACTAGGCCCTATGCCTCTGACTGAGGCAGCTCACTGAACAGTCTACCCTCACTGAATTATCTTTGTCAGCCCAGCACACTATGGCTGTCAGGCTGTATTTGGCATGCTGCCTATTTTTGTATGGCCTAAAAGCTAAGAATGGATTTTACATTTTTAAATGGTTTAAAGGCATCAAAAGAAGGATATATCAAAATACATAAAAGCATATGAGAGTCACAATTTAGTGTCTATAGTTTTTTCTTAATTTAAGAAATTTTTATTCTTATATTTCCTTTTCTTGAATTGGGGGGACATTGGTTAATGAGATTATATAGGTTTCAGAGGTACTTTCTACAGTATATCATCTGTATGTTGTATTGTATGTTCATCACCCCAAATCAAGCCTTCTTCCATAACATTTATCCCCCATTTACCCTCATCTAACTTCCCCCATCTCCTTTCTTTCTGGTAGTCACCATCCTGTTGTCTGCGTCTATGAGGGTTTTTTATTTTTATTTATTTATTTATTTATTTTTTTTGCTTAAGTGGTGTACTTATACAATGGAATACTACTCAGCCACAAAAAAGGAAATTTGTGATAGCATGGATGGACCTGCAGAGCATTATGCTAAGTGAAATAAGCCAGTCAGAGACAAATTCCATATGATTTTATTTGTATGTGGAATCAAATGAACAAAATCAATGAACAAACAAAAGAGAAACAGACTCATACCTAGAGAACAGACTGACAGCTGTCAGGGACAGGGGGCGCTGTGGGGCTGGGTGAAAAATGGACAGTGCTCACACTAATTATCTGGCCTGAAATGTCATTAGTTGTAAGACAGAGATACTGGTCTAAAGGCAGAAAGCATATGGCAGCCAAGTCTGTCCTCTTTTAAAATGGATTCTTGGAAGGAACAAGGACTTTGTTATATGTCATTGGCCAGAATCTCATCCCAAAGTCAACTGTAGCTGCAGAGGAAACTGGATGATGCAGCTATTTTTTTGTTGGGTCCATTGTCACCTAGAGCAGAATTTGGGTCTGATAGTAAGGGAAGAAAGGGAAAATGGATATTGGGTGGACAATAGGCAGTTGTCATGGGCGGTTGTTCTGAGCAGCCTCTTTCTAGAGGTTTGTGTGAATAAGGGATGGAAATGCATGCACTGGTTAAGGAAAACTTGGGGGTTTTTGATTAACCACAAGCAGCGTAGGAAATAGTTTTCGCAGGACATAATATGCAGCCTGCTGTCTATTTATACCACTGTTCTCTTAGTATTTGCGATGGGACTTGCCTTTTTTTCTTTTCCACATAGTCCATGAGATCATTGATTTCAGGCCTGCCTCACTAATACTTTACCATTCATCAGACTGTGTTGGTGCTTCATTTCTTTTATTCTGAAAAAAAAAAATAAAAAATTATGTAATCAGCCTCGTCCAAGTGGCTCAATTGGTTGGAGCATCATCGTGTACACCAAAAGACTGCAGGTTTGATTCCTGGTCAGGGCACATGCCTATGTTGCAGGTTTGATAGCAGGTCAGGGTACGTACAGGGGGCCTCTGGATCTTTGTCTCTCACACTGATGTTTCTGTCTCTTTCTCCCTCCCTCCCTCCCTGTTCTTTCCCCCATTCCTTTCTCTCTCTCTCTCTCATCAATAAACATATCCTTGGTTAAGAATTAAAAAAAAAGTGATGTGATCAGTATTTGCCTTGAATGGTATATCTGTTAGAGTTTATTCAGGAGAAGGGATACCCTTCTAAGTATATCAAGCAGAAATATATGTAATACGAGGAATCAGAGGCTTATGCAACCATTGGGAAGGCTGAGGAGCGAATGATCGCTGCTGCCCTCACACACAAGGGGCCTTCTCAGGAGAATGTCTGGAAGCTTCTGGCAAAGTTTTGTTATCTGCTGTCTACAGATGCCCTTGTGCCTATCCATAGCTACCAACAGCAAATGAATAAATGGCACCTCTTTCTCTTCTCCCTTTCGAATCTCCTGCTAATGCTTCTCATTGGCAGACTCTAACCTGGAGCCATGCCCATGACTTTTGAGAGATGCAGTTGTGAAGCTTCTCAGGGAAGAATGCAGAATGGGTGGAGTGGGATGGTGTGGAGTTAACAACAGACTGTCAGGCAGAAGGAGCATTTGAATTTGAATAAAGGCATTTAGTCAGGACATTTTGGGAAGAAGAGCACTCTATTCAGGTATCGGCAATGTGGCTACTAGTATCATTACCTTGTTGCATCTATATGTCTTTGGGAAATGAATAAGGCTTAATTTGTATCTGTGTTCTGGCTCTCTTCAGGTCATACTGTTGCTAAATAAATAATAACAAAGGATTCAATGACCTGCATATCTAGTGCAGAAGATAATATATTCTGTGAAGCTCCATAATGCAGTGGGGGTCCCAGAGCATGAGGTTTGTAAAAACAATGCATAATTGACCAGTATGCTCTGGAGAGATCAGTGTTCAGAAAGTAATTATGGATGACTCAGCTTGTATATGTTTTTATTTGGGGGGAAACTGTCTGGAGCTCTTTATTTGCCGTAATTATGCCTGGGATTTGTGAAGAGCTGATAAAATACAGTGAGGTATTAAACACAATGAGGATAATAATAAAAACAATTTGGAACAAGGTAAATCATAGACATGACGTATTGCTTGGTGTTGAGGGGAGAGTTGTAACCTCCAGTTATCTGGTACCTGGGCGACATCAGGCTTTCAGCATCACTCACGGGGTTTTGAAGGCAGAATTTGATCTGTGCTACATTTCAGTCTCTGGCACAGCAGAACCATTATGACTGGGTCCTCTGAGCCTTGAGTTTCAGGTTTCTGCTGATATTTAATATTTAAATTATCTCAAAGAAGATAAAGAAAACATACTGTGTTATTCTGTTTATTTTTTGAGTGTGGAAAATTGAAAGGGAGTAAAGGAAAAAACTCAATACTAAGAGCCGTGTGTGAAGGTCACTGGTTTTCTTTGCCAGAATAAAATCAGCATGTTTGGGGTTGCTTAGAATCTTCTGTTGGGTCTTCAGGAGACAAGGCTAGAGATGTGGATTCTTGTGCATGTGATTTATGATTTATTCAGCAAGTGCTCCCAAGAGAAACCAGCAAGGGAACAGGGGAAGGCAGACAGGAAGGGTAAGAGACTGGTAAGGGTGAAATTTGAAGGGAAGTCCCAGACACCCTGGTCCAGTGTGGAACTCTGGAGTGCCAATTAGACCTCACAGTTTGTCCTAGATTGTGGCAAAGGAGCTGCTGTGCTTTCATTCTCCTGCACAGTTAGTTATTGGCCAAGGGCTGCTGGCATGGGGGTGGTTTTGGAGGCAGATAAACTCACAGGGGCCTTCAAAGAATCTCAGGTGCTGGTTATTAGAAAAGAAAAACAGCATAGATGCTGGGGAGGGATGTATAGAAGTGATTAAACAGATCCCAGGGGACCCAAGAAAAGCCCCAACAATGAGAGAAAAAATTTCACTTGAAACTTCAAGGGTTGGGAAACCTTTTCTATAAAGGGCAGGTAGTAAATATTTGAGGTTTTGTGGGCCACAGGATTTCTGTTCCAACTAGTCAATGACATCGTTGCTGTGCAGAAGCAGCCACAGATTCCATGTAAATGAGTGGGCATGTCAGTGTCATGATAAAACTTTATTTATAAAAACAGATACGGAGGGAGGACAAGATTTGGCCCAGGGGCCATAGTTTGCCAGTCCCTGCTGTAGAGGCTCCCTGTATATACCTAAGATGATTTTTAAAATCCATTCCCTCTATGCTGTAAAACACAAGGAATAATTAGTATGGTTATCAAACATCCAGTCTTTCATCATTCACAATGTTGCATGGATGGTCTTGCTGAAGGATGACTCCTCTCCTGTTACTTCTCCTAAAAATACTTAGTTCTCTGTTATCTATAAAATGAAATCTAGAGCAGTGACTAACTTAAATTTCTGCCCTTCACAGTGGGTTGCATATAGTATATATTCAGTAAATGGAGTTTTCAGATGAAGATTGCATTCCTACATCCTGTGATTATTAATGACTTAAGTGCTGAAACTCTGACATCATTTTTCTTTCTCTTTTGTATAGGCAAGAGCTGTTTTGGCAAAAGTTGGCTATCCTGAGTTTATAATGAATGATACTCATGTTAATGAAGACCTCAAAGCTGTAAGTGCTAAATTTACTGTATTTTTTTTTTCTGGCAAGTTTTACTGGCCTCATGCCTTTCAACTAACCCAAGTCCAAGCAATTAAACCTGGTGGTGCCAGAAAGCCCCAACTTTTGATTCATCCTTGGCTAGATATAAGCCTCAATATGCCAGGCGTATCACAAGATTTAGAGCAAATTCAAAATAAAGGAAGTGACAGAAGGAATGTATAGCTAAGTGGGTACCATAAAGCAAGTGGACTTGGATTAGGCCTAATTGCATTGTAAAGGAAAGAATTAAGCAAATCGGGTATTTTTCAATTAGTGGGCATGTTCTAATGGTGAATATATGATATTTGTTGTTAAACAGTCTTTATGTGCTTCATTCATATTAAATGACTTGTAATAAATCTGCTAGCTGGGAGTTAACTTCATTAAACTTTATGAGTGTTTTTGCAAGTGCATATACATATGACTCTACAATTAATTTATTGTGATTTGGACTCCAAATTTGCAGTAAGTAAGTGATGGAGGAATAGTAATGATTCTTTTTTATTCCAGTATTTTGGGTCCTATATTTTCTAGTAGATATTTACATTACAGGCTTTTCTAATCACAACCACTGTTATTTCCTTTTCTATAAATAATTCTGATAAAGAACTTTGATTCCTCACAAACCTCAGTTTTTACCACTCACTGGATTTTCTGAGACAAGTAGGAGTTTTTTTTGGTGGAATCCTTTTTTTTTTTTACTTTAAAAAAATTTTTATTTAGTTATTTTTCAAGTACAGTTTTTTGTCTATTTCTCCCATCCCAGTGGAATCCTTTTAATAACAATGGCCCTGAGGTATAGTAGCTGTTTCCTGATTGAGGTTTGAGAAGTTGCATATCTGAAAGCAATCCCAGCTTTGTAGATGAATATCAGAGTTTTGCAAAATTATTCAAAAGTGAGAGAAGGCTTTAATTAGAAAGTTCTCCATTAGCCTCCAAGATATGGCCTTCTAAAGTATTGATCTGGTTACTATGCTGAAAGATAATTATGCTTCACAGTATCCCAAAGCCCAGACAGCAGCCCATCTTGTTATACATTGTTTTGATAGTGAACAAATCTCATTACCATTATGATAATCAAAGATACTGATGCATTTGACACATTCACATATGTTATCTTTTAAGCCCCACAGTGACCCTCTGAAGTTAGATTGCCCTTAGCCCCATTTTGCAGAAAAGGAAGTAGAGACTCAAGAAGTTAAGCAATGTTCTGAGTTCACAGTGTCAGAGCCAGGACTGAAGTCAGGACCCAGGAAGCCCTGCCTGTAATTTTAGAAGGGGTTCAGCGGGGTCCTTGTCAGGCAACCTCGCTTTAGGGACAGGGGAGTGAATTTGAAGAGTTGGTGGAAACTGCTTGCCTAGATCTGGTTGGAAGTGAGAGGAGGAGTGGGGAGATCATATTGTCAAGTGGTTAAGAGCACAGGTTTTTTGCCTCTTGCACTTATTAGTTTGGTTTCATGCAGGTTACATTACTTCATTTAACTTCCCTTTGGTTGTCTGGATACTAGAGATAGTAATAACCAAGTCTTAGTGTTGTTGGGTTGATTAAGTGAGATTATATAAATGTAAAAGCACCTAATGTACTGTCTAGGGTATAGGTAGGCTCCCTGTAAATGTGGATCAGTGTGAGAACTGTCACTGCTAGGAAGGGCATCACCAGGGCAACAAAGTACCTTACTTAGCAAGAGAACCTGTACAGGTACATGTGATTGTCAAATATTCCAAGTCAAGGGTACAGGTAACAATGTTTGAGAGCCAGTTTGATGTAGCAGTCTACCACTCACTAGCTGTGTAACGTAGGATCTCTGCGCCTCAATTTCCTCATGTTAAAATGAAGATAATAATAATCCCTCCCTTATAAGGCTGCTGTGGGCATCAGATAAGATTACATATGTAAAGTATTTGGAGCTGATCCTTATCCACACCAAGCACAATATAAGAGTTATGATATCTTCAATTTGCATTAATGATAGTAAATTATTTGGGTTTGGAAAAATCATTATGAATTAACTCATCTAGTATCCAGGTGCCTCAAATTGATTTAAAAAGGCTGTACAAATGGAACAGTATCAAGCTGTAATCAAATAAGATAGCATTCAGAGCTCATTCACAATATTTAGTTCATCAGGTTTTATTGGCAGTGTGCTACTGTTTAAAGTCAGTGTCCCAGATTGAAAGACTCTCTGAATGCAGTACCTTTTGTGAAAAGAAACCAGATGCCAAACAGGATGCAGTATGGGGTCTGTTCCCTCATTTCTCCAGGGCCTGAACAAAACCCATTAGACACTAAGATTTTTAAGCATGCTTGTGAAGAAATGGCTTTCATGTGACTCATTGCCAAAGCAGGCACAATGACGCCCAAGAGTTTCTAACACTGTGAAAAAGAGATGGTGAAAAAAATGTCAAATACTGGAAATAAAAATACAGTTGTGTTTGGAAGCTGATAGAGAAAATGAATACAATCCAACCTGAGAATAGGTAAAGGATGCTTGATGTGATAGTAATAGTGTCACTGAAGTTAATAGCAAAAGGACTCAAGTATTGTGGGTACACAATGGGTCTGTATTTCCAGTTCTGAGAAACATGTAGATAAGGACTACTGTCAGGCCTACAAGATGTGTCTGGTTGTACACGCTCTGAGCATGAGAGGCTTTTGGAAATGAAAAACAGCTTAGTTTATTTGGCACCAGAAAAGATATGATTTAGCAGGTACAAGCGCAAAAGGAAAGAGGATATTGATTCGGTAATGGATCATATGAAGGTCAAGGAGAAAGGTTGAAAACAAGTTGGGACCATGTGCAGATAAGAGCAAATGGAAAAGAACTTAGAGGCAAATGTAAAGAATTAGAGAAAATTTGTTTTTTTTGCCTCTTTGAGGAAGACAAGGTAAATTGAGGTACCCAAAAAAGTGTTTCTGAATAATAATCTTTCTGTAGTTTTTGACAAAAGCAAGAAAGGAAATGCAGGAAAACCCACTAATTAGCCTAAAAAAGTAGGGGTCAGTCCACTTTCAAATTAGCCTTATTAAGTGTTCCTCCATTGATCCTTAGTGGGAATAGACTTTAAGAGCGGTATGATACCAACTTGGAAAGATTGCTGTGTCAGCAAGGAATCCAGAAAGACACTTAGTGTACCTAAGCACACTTAAGTATTTCAAAGAGAGGTGATTTAATACAGAAAATAGGTTGGAAGGCAAAATTCAGGAAGGTGAGGTAAACCAGATATTAATAACTTCAGGAAGCTACCGTCACCCCTGCATCTAGGGGCACAGAAGGGAGGAAGTGATGGTACCATCATTTAGGAGAACAGAGGGGGAACTGCCACTCCAACCGGGGCTGTGGAGAAGGGGGTGAAGATTCTTTCTGAGTCATTGTCGGGAGAAGAAAGAGGAAAGAGAGCAAGAATGAAAGAGACTAAGCATAGCATTCTTTCCCCTCCTGCCACCTGCTGATTTGCCCCAGTCCCTCCTGTTGGCAGGGAGCCAAATGGCAGTGGAGCCTGAGAAGCAGAGTTTCACATGCCCAGCCTCAGCATTATAGGACAGAGTAAAAGGCTGGGCATGCATTGAGAGACAACAGGTAAGTACGCGGCACCATTAGGTACTCCGCTGATTCTTGTGAACGCCAGTGGGTAATTGGAGTAGGGGCTAAAGTCAGAAACACAGCTGACCGCCATTTACTTCGGAGAATTGCATATGGGTAATTTTTCAGAAAAAAATCAATGTTTCTAGTGAACAATATAAATATACCTACATATAAGTGTGCATATGCAGAGATACAGATATTATGTGAATCAATGTAATATTCTGCAGTATGGGTCTTGGTCTGCTCTGGCCAGCAGAGCACTCGTGTGTGTGTGTGTGTGTGTGTGTGTGTGTGTGTGTGTGTGTGTGTGAGCGAGAGAGAGAATATAAATATATCAGTATTTATATGCATTGTATGTTTTATGTGTGTATAAAAGTGCTAATGCCACTGTGCACGACTGAGGTAACATTATGTGGAATGCTCTATAAAGACAGGTTGTTAAAACACAGAAGTCCTTCTGTACTATTTAGTCAAAACAAAACAACATTGCCTTCATCTCTGCCAAGTGATCTCTGGCCGCCATGGCCCTGGAGAGCCAAGAGTTGGCACTGGAGGGCGGTGTCCACCAACCTTACCGTAACTCCCACACACTGCCCTTCTAGAGTGTTCCACTGGCCAGAGCAAACCAAGACTTCCCTCTACCCCTGGAGGTGGCAACAGGGCATCTGGTTCCCTCTGGTTCTGGCTGATATGCTAACTACTGCCACCTCACCCTTATGTGGCTGCTGTGGAAACTGCATCTTCCGCAGTGTGCCATGTATGTAGGTTGTTAAACAGTTTGAATGTAGGTGTTATACACACACACATACTTATGGGCAAAGCCATCTAAACAAAACAATCTTGCATATTACTTTGCTATTTACATAAGGGAAAATGTAAATACAAAATCTGGATCCCTTATGTATTCAGAAAGTTTTTTTTGTGCCTAATGTAAAATCTTTCTTATACATACTGGCATATATCTTTATATGGATTTAACATAACTCATAGATATTTGGACATATTCTTAAGTGGATTTAACATAAATGAAAAGTGTTCTAGAATCTATATTTCCTATTGGCTTAGTTATTAATGAACACATACTTAGTGATTCTACAGAGAAGCTGAGAGCGCTTCCCTGTTCGGCCCTTATTACGTGTTCTTCACCTGTGTTGAGGTTAATAGCCTTATTCTTCTATTTAGTCTGTGGTATTTGGTGAGAAATTCAGATTCCCCTAAATTTTATAATTTGGACAGCTATTCCTAGGAAATGACAGAAGAGCCCCAATTAATTTTCCAAAGGTCACTCAATTGAAAAGTCAGGAGATGGAATTGATTAAAAGTCATTACCAAGTTGACCTCGATTTTCACCAGAAACTGAAAGGACAAGAGGCTTTTGAGCCATCTATTGTCCCTTACAGAGTTTAAACATATTTTGAAGATTACAAGTGGTTTTAAAATATTCATGTGCATTCATTTCTGTTGCTCATCTCTACAAGTGGAACTTTCCCAGTGGTTGCTGACTTTCATCGTTTTTTTCTCTCATTCAAGGGCCTGTTCAGTATTTGGAATTATCAAACTATTATCATATAGTGGGAATTTGGGATATAGAAAAAAGGAATGAGACAGCACCCATAATATTGGTACTCAAACATAAAGATACATCTGTTTTAGTGTATTTTTAAATTTTGTTATAGCTGTAATTGATGCTTATATATAATTTTGTATACTGATCTTTATAGTTAACATATTATTTTGTCCTTGTCTTCTGCAGCCTTCATTACCATTGTATTAACTACTGTATGTGTTCAGTAAATTGTACCATGATTTATTTAGTCACAGCTTCTCCTTTCACCATAATTCTTACCTTCTCCTCCCCTTTCCCTGTACTCTTTCTGTTAAATCACTGGTTTACTTATTAGGACCAATGAAAATAACATTGAATAGGAACCTAATGACTCGGACTATATTGCTTTGCCAAGTTGCATAATTACTGTAACATTGTGTCCCATCTATCACAGGGTAATAACTATGGCTGGCCCTTTCTACCCCCACACTTAACCTGTCTCAGGAAAGATGTGTCTCCTATCACCTGTGACTTACATTAAGTAAATGGAATACATCAAGTAAACCAAGCTAGGAAATTGCAAATATTCTCAGTTTACTAAAACAGTTTTTAAATTGTTCTTCTAAACATAGATGATAAGCTGTTGGCAAATTGTAATGACTTACCTCTAAGTTTGACTTCTCATGGTTATTATGGCTGTGTGAGGACTATATACTTAAAGAATTTTTAGACACAGGACTCTTCTTCTTTAGGAAATTCATAGATGGTTTTTCATTTGCTATCTCTGTAGAACAACCTGAATAACAAGTTTTTTCTTCTCAGATGAACAGGATAATTTAATGAATAGCAGACTTCTAAAAGTAACAACTGACCCCACTGATAATACTGAAAATTAATATTTTTAAAGGAAATTCCTTGGGGAGAACTTCATGGAAAGTGTTCTGAACCCAAGAACATATCTGAATTTTCTATCAGTCACAATCATATTCTGAGAGTTCTGGCAGAGCTATCTTGGGAACCAAACTGAGAAAGCTAAGGGTTGAATGGTGGACACATTTTTTAAACTATACGATTCAGGAATGTATTGGGATTGCTAGATGAGATTGCTTCCTCAAACAAGGAAGCAATCTTCCTCTGTTTCTTCTGAGCCTGAGTATAAATATCTTAAAATGGAGTTGGTAAGATTTCTTTTTATTACAAAGAATCTCAAACATTGTGAAAGTATTTACTATCATATTTTGAACAAATGGCTTTAACAAATATTAAACATATTGCTGTATTAACTTTATACACACACATGTTTTAAATTGATAAAACAAATACATTGGAAATTCTTCGTGCAATCGTCATTTACCTAATGTCCTTCCTTGCTGCCTACCTCCTTCCCTGGGTATAAATGCTATTTTGAATTCAGTGTTTATTATTCCTAAGCATTTCTTTATGCTTTTGCTGCAGGAGCACTTCTCTATAAACAACATATGACATTGTTTTACATGTTATAAAACTTTAAATTCTCTCATACATACACTTATCTCACTTAGCATTGGTTTGAGATTATTTTATGTTCATGCATACAAACCGTTTGTCTAAACTGGCTTCCATTATGTGATTATACCCCAATTTATCTATCAGCTACCCCCATAAGAGGATTGAGGGAGGGACAGTTTAATGTCTTTTTTTTGTAATGTGTTGGCTAAGTGGAACACCAAGGATGCCAGGAATTGATACTTTCATTCTTACCTTTCTCCCTGTGCTTTTAGTTACATAACTCCTTTCTTTGTATTTTGGCCTGGCCCCCTGGAAAGACTGTTAAGATGAATCACTAATAAAAGTTACTGTACAGACATAATAAGTATCCACCATATATTAGGGAACAGATAAACCCAAGGCAGACATTGGCTAACGAATAGGCTGCTGTCAAGTCTATAATGGTCAAGTTGGATAATACACATTCATTTCTGTACTGTGATCCCTTGGATTTCCTATATATTCACTTGCTATATCATAATTTTTAGCTCTAAAAGAGTCTCATGGTTTAAATTTACAAAATATTACAACTAATAAGAATTTGATTACTTTTTTTATTGTTGTTCAAGTACAGTTGTCTCCATTTTTCTTTAAAAGAAAACCACTGAGGGCCCTGGCTCAGTGGATTGAGCGCGGGCCTGAGAACCAAACAACTGCGGTTTGATTCCCAGTCAGGGCACATGCCTGGGTTGCAGGCCAGTTCCCAGCAGGGGGTGCACAAGAGGCAACCATACACTGATATTTCTCTTCCTCTCTCCTTCCTTTCCCCTCTAAAGATAAACAAATAAAATCTTTAAAAAAAATGAGCTCTCCTGACTTTAAAATTAAAAAAAGAAAGAAAGAAAAAAGAAAACCACTGTGATTAAATTTCATGGCTGCATGAATACTGGGTTGACCAATGAGGGCTGGAAGATGATGTGAGGAGTATAGCTTCTCTGTTGATCACTCATTTGTGTGCTGATCTTTTTTCAGAGCTGTCTCTTATCTACACGTACAACAATGATCATTGTGGTTTGTTTTATCCAGATCAAGTTTTCAGAATCGGACTACTTTGGCAATGTCCTGCAAACCCGCAAGTATTTAGCACAGTCTGATTTCTTCTGGCTGAGAAAAGCTGTTCCAAAAACAGAGTAAGTAAACAAAAAACGTGAAAGAGATAAATATGTTGGTGGGAAGTGGATTCTCTTTAGATCAAACTTTATAATTCCCCTCAAGTCAGAGTAGCTGGCTTGCCAGTTATCTTGTTTGCCCAAATCTGTGTTATGTTTTGGCAACTCTTATTTCTGATATTATATGAGTCAGCTGTTCAATTTAATTATGGCTCTCTCACTCCTAACATCAACACTTATGAAAAGAAGGCTTGTTTGGATGCCAGTGTTCAAATCATCTCTAGATCTTGATATGTGTGTGCGTGCGTGTATGTACATATATATTTTCTCTAGAATGTCACACTCAGGTAGAGACTTTTGAAGATCTTTAAAAAACAAATATTTTTTAAAAAGTATGATTACAACTATAGAAGTGATTGTATAATTTTAAGTAACTAGATGATCTTTATTAAGGTAATGAATGTTAACGAAATGTTAGCACTATTGTTTTCCTCCAATAGTAGTTATGATTTATTTGCCTGTAAGATCTTTCCCTACAGATAAGAAAGTTTTCTCAGGAACTTTTGGGGCCAGGCCAGCCATGATTTTTTCCCCAGCAAGATGTGTGCAATGGTGGTGATGACAGCCGCTAACAGTTACTGTGTCTGTACAGTGTGCCTGGAAGTGCTCTCCATGTTTTCATTCATTTTATCCTCTTGTCAGTGCTGTGAGGTCTGGGTAGTATTTATTGTTCCCATATCACAAATGAATAAGAGGCTTACAGCTGAGAAATTCTTTCATTTTGCTTTAGATTACTTTTTGTTCTTGCTTGCTGGTACTTCCGACTCTGGTCTGCTGTAGCCCACTTCTCCAGTGTTTTTCTCTTTCTCTTCTCCAGATTGGATGGCTTTTGTTGACCCGTCTTCACATTCATGGATTCTTTCTTGTACATTCTCAAATTTGCTATAATTTTTTCCTTTGATTATTAGACTTTTCAACTATTGAATTTGCATTTGGATGTTTTTTATAGGTTTTTGATCTCTGTTGTGATTATTTATTTGTTGAATCATTGTCATAGTATTTTCCATTAATTCTTTTAATATAGTTTATTTTAATTCTTGAAGCCGATTTATAATGACTGCTTTTAAGTTTTTGTCTGCTAAAGCCAACATGTGGGCTCATTCAGAGTCAGTTTTTATCACTTGCTTTTTTGTTTTGTACTTTGTTTTTCTTTGCATAGCTTAATTATTTCTTTTGTTGAAAATGATATTTTAGGTAAAGTATTATAGAAACTGTGGATTCTGATTTATTCTTCTGAGGCTTTTTAAAAAGTAACATTCCTGGACTTACACTGCAGAACCTGTCTCCCTTATAGTATGCAGCCATGAATGTCTCTGCTCATTTAAAAAATTCTTATGTTTAGTTTTTAGCCTCACTTCCTAGAGTTTGTCCCTATATCTGCATAGTTTAGTGCTCAGGGAATCAGGACAGAGCTGGTGCTCAAACCCGTCTAGCCTATAGGGCTTTTGCCCTCTGCCAGTTGCTCTGTGAGGGGGTTGGGAGGGCATTTGAAGTCACAACCAGTTCTCAGTCAGCCTTGGATTTGCTTCTCAGTCTGCTCTCTCTGGTGTCCCCTGTACCTGTGCTCGTTTTGTAGTCAGCCAGGGATGTGTGGTGAGCTTATCTCACTCTTCTGTGACTCTTTTTGTTCCAGAATCTCCCTTTTAAATTTCCTGGCTGGTCCTTTGCTCTCCCCAATGGGAACTATAATTTCAGGCTAGTAGAGCTGTGGGTTTTCCTCATTTTTTAAAAAAAGTCCTACATTTTTAGCTGACAAAGCTGCAGGTGTTCACTTTTACTCCCAATTGAGCCCACTCCCTGTGGCAGCAAAAGCTGCTGATTTTCCAGCCAGCTCTATGCTAATAAAACTAAGTTCTCACTGACTGATCTGGGAGGGATGGGAGCAGTCCTAGGCTAGAAGGCTATAGACTCCTATTCTGGTTTCTTCCAGCTCTAGCAGTTTTTCAAAATTAAACCTTTTTGTGTTTATTTGTTGTTTTGCCTTTGATTGATTCCCAGCGCCTTAAAATTATTGTTTGTTGATAACTTTGTCGAGTTTTATACTTGATTTTTGTGGAAAGGATTTATTGACCTTGCCATACCATCATAGCTGGAAGCCTGGCTTCCATGCCCACATTTTTTTTTTTCATGGCCCACTTTTACTAAACTTGGCTGATATTCTGGCCTCTGTATCTTTGGCTGGCTCTTTTTATGTTCTCTGGGTCTCTTGTTACTCTTCTTTCCAACTCCCTGCTCTATCCTGGCTTCTAAACACTCTAGCCCCCATACCCTCCCTTGGCTTAAACTGTGATTACCACCTCTCTCTCTTAGGCATGATTCCCACCTAGCCATTCCTGCCTTCTGCCCTTCAAACCTTTCCACAACACACAGTTAGTTAAAAGTGTTTGACTTAAGGAGTAGGCCTAAGCTGAATCACTCCTCTACCCATCCCTGACTCCAATCAAAAGTACAGAGGAAGAAAGCAGAGGGCTTTAGAGCTTCTTTAGAAATGACAGATAACTGGTTTAAAGCCATCTGCTCCATTCTCCTTGGTTCTCTCTTCTCATCACAGTATCTCTTAGTCCGTCTCTCCTACTTCATTCCCAACCTAAATTATTCAATAGCAATTTTACATTTAGCATTCTAAACCTAGCTTCTCACATCCAATGACTTCAGTAAATGCCTTCCAATATCCCAATGAGCATCTACGTGTAGTATGATAGTCATAGATCCATGAATATCATCCTGCCCTTTCATTCAGACCTACGATACTTTAGTTCAAATTCTTTTCCTTCCTTCCTTCCTTCCTTCCCTTCCTTCATTCCTTCCCTCCCTTCCTTCCTTCCTTCCTTCCTTCCTTCCTTCCTTCCTTCCTTCCTTCCTTCCTTCCTTCCTTCCTTCCTTCCTTCCTTCCTTCCTTCCTTCTTTTCAACTTATGGAAAATCCGAAGCTCTTTTCAGTATTTCTGTGAAATTTCTGGGTCTTCTCAGGGATTCCTCCATATTGGAGATGCTACCAAGTTCATTCTTCAGTTTCAAAATGACATTATTCATTTGGGTGCGTAGCAAAGCTGGGGTTGCTAATTGAAAAACTCCTACTAAACATGTCATCTTTAAAATCATCCTTTAAATATGGTTAGGCTGTTAGATTCTAACAGCCTTGGCTAGTTCTAATTTTTTATTCTTTCCTTGGAAAAATGCTGGCTGACTTTGTGGGCTTAGGAAAACTGATTTGCATAGTTTTATTCTCTGTCATTGAAAACAAATACCTCTTTCAGAAGGACATTAAATTGGTTCATGTTTCTGGAAGTTTCCAGGAATGAAAACAATGCTATTAAGTCTTGGTTTTTTTGACTCTATGTCGATTTCAGAGAAAGCAACATTAAGAAATTGAAGGTCCTTTTTACATGGTAAAGTGGTATGACAGCTAATTTTCTAAAAATTAGCTGGTTCTTTTCATGCATGGTAGGTAATTTTAACTTCATGATAGCCACTCTCTTCAATCGACATCTTTTGGGTCTGAAAATTCAGGAGTTAATCGAATGGGGCTGGTTCTGGAGTATCTCCTCTGCATTAGTTCACTTAGTATAACTCATCATAATTATCTTTCTGCAAAGCCCTGAAATAACAGTTTGCTTGTTTGTGAATGTAGGAGATAAATATCCTTTATTTTTCATTCTCATAGAATCCATTTTTTTTGCTGCACTAATGTGCATTAAGAGGCTTCTAATGTGGTGATAAATGTCAGCAAGAATGAAATTAATTGGATGGTCATCCCTGAAGGTACACATTTAAGGTTGGTTCTCAGAATTGTCACTTCTTCAGCTTGCTGAAAAGTAGAGGATTCACTTCATTTCTCAGCTTGAGTCAAAAGTAATTTCTTTCCTTCAGAATACCCTTTCTTTGACAGAAATGATTTTAACCTAGCTTCCCTATTAACTCACTCTAACTCCACTGTGACCAAACATGACTGGATTTTCTTTCTCCCTCTTCTGAAAAAAAAATGTAAAAATACATCAAATGTCTATACAAATTATGGTCCTGCCCAGAATTTTTATTTGTAAAAGCATTATTTATAATATGGAATGGAAAGGGTATAATCTACAGCAGGGGTGTCAAACTCATTTTCACCAGGGGCCACATCAGCATTGCAGTTGCCTTCAAAGGGCCGAATGTAACTTTAGGGCTGTATACATGTAACTACTCCTTAACAGTTAAGTGAGAGCTTGGTGCCTCCACCAGGTAGAAACAAGGTGCTAGGCAGATAAAACAAGGTGGAGGGCCAGATTCAGCCTGTGGGCCTTGTGTTTGCCACCTGTGATCTACAGGATATTAGAAATAAAGCAATAAATACTCTATGGTTTTTCTATTCCATACTCCTTAGATCGTCTTTAAGAGTTGATAGGCACAATGTAAAACTTGATGTGTGTTTATTGTATAGTGTTCAAAGAAATCAGGGTGCTAATGTCTTTTCCTTTATATTATTGTATTTTAGTATTACAGGATAGATCAATCTTGGATGTAGGTCTTTGGATTTCATGACTTGGAATACTTCTTTCCAGCCCCTTCTTGCCTGGAAGGTCTCTTTTGAGAAATCCGCTGACAGTCTGATGGGAAGTCCTTTGTAGGTGACTGTCCCCTTCTCTCTTGCTGCTTCTAGAATTCTCTCCTTCATTTTAATCTTGGCTAATGTAATGATGATGTGCCTTGGTGTGTTCCTTCTTGGGTCCAACTTCTTTGGGGCTCTCTGAGCTTCCTGGACTTCCTCAAAGTCTATTTCCTTTGCCAGATTGGGGAGGTTCCCCTTTATTATTTGTTCAAATAAGTTTTCCACTCTTGGCTGTTCCTCTTCCCCTTCTGGCACCCCTATAATTCGGATATTGGAACGTTTAAAGATGTCTTGGAGGTTCCTAAGCCTCTCCTCATTTTTTTGAATTCTTGTTTCTACATTCTTTTCTGTTTGGTCATTTTTTTCCTCCTTCTGGTCCACTCCTTTGATTTGAGTCCCAGTTTCCTTTCCATTACTATTGGTTTCCTGTGCATTTCCATTGATTTCAATTAGTTTCGCCTTCATATGTTCCTCTAATTTGTGACTAAAACCAACCAGTTCTGTGAGCATCCTGATCGCCAGTGTTTTGAACTGTGTATCTGAAAGTTTGGGTATTTCTTCATCACTTAGATTTATTGGCTCTGGGGCTTTGAGTTGTTCTTGAGCCATGTTTTGATCTCTTTGTTCCTGTTACATATGAGGAGAGGAGACTTAATTGTTCACCAGGGCGGGGCCATCCAGGTCACTGGTTTGTGACGCTGTATATGGGGGCAGGGTCAGAGAGGGACAATGGAGGTCCCCTCTGCTGCTTTCCGCCACTGGGGCCTGCACGGTCTATCTCACCGCTCGCACCTTCACTGGTTTATCTGCTCGCGAATGTGTGACTGTGGTCAACCCTCAGTGAGACCACTGCCTTGCACCCTCAGTGGGTTCTCTTGCTTCTCCACACCTGGGATCCGCCTATGGCTGCTGGCGCACCTGGGTCGCATGCCCAGGTCGCACACCCGGGTCAGTCCAGTGGATCTTTCCTGCCCGACCCTGCTCTGCTGCTGGCTTTTCCCCTCTTAACTGGTTTGGTTGAAGGGTTCCTTGTTGCTAGACTTCCGTATAGTTCAATTTTTTGTGGTTTTGGCCGTGTTTTTGTTGCTAAAACTTTGTTGTTTTTAACCTTGGTTGTGTGAGGAGGCACAGTGCTTCCACCTACGCCTCCATCTTGGCGGATGTCTACAGTCTTTTTATGTACCTCATTATGCAGTATAATTTCATTTCCATGTATTTTTGGATTTGACATTCAATAAGACCTCTTTCCCCCTTATCCTTCCCCAAATATAAACTGCAGGAACATCCTAAAGTCACAGTAAGAGTTTAAAGCACATTAGTGACACTGCTTGTTTATTCAGACAGATGTATACCTAGCAATACATTCATGTAAATACATTGAGTGATCCTCTATTAAGTGCGTACCATCTAGGTGGATATAAATGATAGGGGGCAGAGAGGACTGTGGAGCACTAGTGATTTGCATACCTCATTTAAACTCATTCCAGTTCAGTATCTTTCCAAACCATCGTGTTGGGCAAATGAAACATTTTTATGGGGAAATTCAACCTATTGGGTAGCACTTAGTCTGTGGACAGGCAACTTTTCAGTGTTTCAGTTATCTGCTGCTGTATAATATAATAAATAATATAATATAATATAACCACCCTAAAATGTTGAGGCCTTAAACCACAGTTATCGTTTGTTCTCTCTCGTGGCCCTGCAGGTCACTAGGCTCAGCAGGGTGGTTCTTGCTCATGGTCTTTCATGCAGTCTCAGTCAGGTAGTCACGTGGGAGGCTTCCTCTCTCAGGTCTGGTAGTTAATGCTGACTGTTGGCTGGAAGGCCTTCTATAGCTCTCTGTGAGCACTGGGATTCTTTATAGCATGCTGATTGAGCAAGAAACTTCAAAGAGCAAGTTTTCTAAGAAAGAGAGCAGGAGAGCGGGCACACAGGGTGGGGGGGATTGAATCGCCTTTAACTACCTATCATTGGGGGTCATTTGGTGTCATTTTCACTGCATTGTATGTCTTGGTAGTGAGTCTCTGAGGCTAGCCCATGATTGAGAGGAGAGGAATTTAGATTTCAACTCTTAATGGGAGGAGTGTACAAAAAATTGCAAACAGGTTAGAACAAGCACAGGTATTCTTGCATTAGAGAATAATACATAAAAATATGTATGTATAATAAACTTGGGTATAATCAGGGTGATAATAGAAAATATTTAATGGCTGCTTTGGCATGGACACTGAGCAATAAGAAGAAATAGTAGCATGCATAACTGGTACTATCTACTGGTGCCGCCACTTAATATGAGCTCTGGGTATAATGAAGACTCCAAACATGCCCTAGAATCAGCAAGAGCTCTGGGAGGTCAGGAAAGGTGTGGCCACGTGTCTGAAATAAGATGTTTTAGGTATTCGTGCTGAAGCTTCAGATGCCCCATGTGGTTGGTTGATTTCTTTGTTTTGTCCAGCTTTGTCCTTAGCAGTTAGAAATATTTTTGTTGTGCTCTGGCTGGTGTGGCTCAGTGGATTGAGCTCTGGCCTGTGAACCAAAGGGTTGCCAGTTCAATTCCCAGTTAGGGCACATGTCTGGGTTGCAGGCTGGGTCCCCAGTCGGGGGCTCATGGGAGGCAGCCACACATTGATGTTTCTCTCCTTCTCTTCTCCCTCCTTTCCCTTCTTCTAAAAATAAAAAAAAGTAATATATAAAAGAAATATTTTTCTTGCATGGCCCTTACCCTGTTTTAAAAGTTTATTCCTTGCAAAAGGGAGTGGAGTTGGTAGGAATGGGAAGAGAATTGATGAGCTCTAGTAATACACATAATCTTTTCTACGTATTACGTTGGTTTCAATGTCATTGAAAGGCAAGTTCAAAGAGATACCCGGATTTTCCCTCTATTGACCCAAAGAGCAGACATACAAATGCTTGATTCTTTGGGGAGTGTATTAGTTTTCTGTTACTGCTATAATAAATTGCCACAACTTTAGCAACTCAAAATGACAAATGGATTATTTCACAGTTCTGGAGGTTAAAAGTGTGGGTTGGCTTGGCTCATTTCTCGGGTCCAGGTTTTGCAAGGCTGAAATCAGGGTGTTAGCTGGCTGGACTCTTAGCAGGAGGCTCTGGGAAGAATCCTCTTCCAAGCTCAAGTTTCTTGTGGTTGCAGAACTGAGGTCTGTCCTTCCTTGTGGGCTGTTAGCTGGGAGCCACTCTTCCCTCAAGAAGTTTTTCTCTGGTCCTTGCATATGACCCTGCATCTCAGAGCCAGAAACAGTGTGGGGAATCCTTTTTGCTCTTGGATTCTCTCTGACTTCCTTCTTCTCTTGTGTTGCATCTCTCAGGTTCCAGTCAGAGAAGGTTTTCTGCCCCTAAGAGCTCATGTGATTTGAATGGGCCCACTCGGGTAATCCAGGATAACCTCCCTATTTTCAGGTTCTTCAATTTAATGATACCTGCAGTCACAGGATCCAGGGATTAGTATGTGCATGTCCTTTTGGGACCCATGATTCTACCTACTATAGGTAGCAATATTAGGTCCATAAAGGAGGTTTCCCATCCACTTATTTCCTCAAGAAAATAGTAAGTTTGTGTTAAACATTAAGATGCATTGAAATATTAATCCTAAAGTTGAAGGGAAAAAATACACTTACGGGAATGAGTATAGGTTTCAGTTTTGACAAGAGAAGGGACACTGTCTTTCTTGATGTCCAGTAATGTTTCCAGTATAATGTAATGCTTAAGAGAACTGCCCTGAAGTCAGACCAGACTTTGTGCAAGTATATAATACCTTTAAATCTCCTTGTTCTCATCTGTGAACTGGTCTAATAATTGTTATAATTGCTATGGGGAAAAGCCTATAAGTAGAAAGTGCTTAGGGCATAGTAAGTGCTCATTGAATGTTAGCTAATAATAATAATAGTAATAATAATAAAATGACATATTCATAGACTTCTTTATAGGTGGGGAGGAGGTATAGGTGGACCAACTAGAATCAACACTTGGGTTTCTTGCTAGTTTCATATTACTGACAAATTATTACTATATTAAACATAAAATTAGTAAAGTGATTATTCTCAAAAGGAATTTATACAGGTTTATTTTACATGATTAAGTTTAAAACAAATTGCTTGGTTTTAATCATAAAGGGCAATGGCTGAAGCTTGTGGCCCTCTAAGTCAGGTGTCAGCAAACTGTGATCCATGGGCTTAATCTTGCCTGCTGTCTGTTTTTGTATGGCTCATGAGCCAAGAATGATTTTTACAGATAAATGTTTGCAGTTGTTTGATGATTGGAAGTGCTAACTTTGAACAATTATGCAAAATGTTATCCTGCCCTCAAAGAATACCATTCTTTTCATGAATAGGCCTGTATTATAATAACTTGCACTTGATGATTATATTTTGAATTTCATTAAAAATTTATTGAAAATTTTCTTACTGCAGAAGTACCTACATAACATCCTTGATTTTTGCTTTGTTGCCTGCAAAATACCCAGTGTTTACCATCTGACTCCTTCAGAAAAAAAAAAATTTGCTGAGCCCTGATCTAAGTAACCTACTGTACATTTAAAATGGAGTGTAGAATCTTCATAGCTGGAAGGTACTCCCAAGATCTCCTAATGCAATACTTTATTTTCATGGCTAAAGCAAGCTCCAAGAAGGTAGGCAGCTGTTTTGACATAATCCAGATAGCTGGTGATAGGGGCAGGACAAGTCATTAGTTCTTTTGGTGCTTAAACAAGCAAACTTTCTACCAGAGAAGCATGCTTGTACTTTATTAATCTCTCTGTCCATGAACCTCTGTGTTAACACTAGTCCAAAAGCTTTTAATGTGGACAGATCAGAGGCTATGCAGTGTAGTAACTGAGCTGTCTCATGGACCCATTAAATCAGGCCTGGCAAACATTAGTTTATTGCTGTGCTTCCCTCTGCAAGGAGAGCCCTTTAGAGTCTAGAATTTCTCATTTAAGCTGTTTCAGAAGCACTGGCACTGACTTTTTCTGTTAAGTTAGTAACAGTGAATAACCAGGCATGTTAATATATTCTCACTGAACCATGCTCAGTTTAGGATGAGATTGTTTGTTTATTGAGCAGAGCAATAGCCCTAAATTGAAGCGATAATTTCCCCGTGTGTCCCATATCCTCATTGTTCCCTGGTTATATGCTAACAAATTCCAACACATTCTGTTTGTTCTTGCTGCCCTCCTGCCGGGATAATGACGATCACTTGGTGATACTTGTTTCTCTTGCTACAGGTGGTTTACAAATCCAACGACTGTCAATGCCTTCTATAGTGCATCCACCAACCAGATCCGTGAGTACTTGGCTTCTTGTCTCCTTGTTAATCTGGTACAAAATGGAAGGAACTTTTCCATGACTGCGAGTCAGCGTAGGGCATTCTTTATTTCACCCTACAAAATGACCAGGTATGTTGGTGAAGGCAGTCTGTTCCCATACCCATATGCTCAGTTTTCCTCATTCTGTTCCCCTTATAAATTTTTTAAAGTTTTGTATCACCACTGAGTAAAAAGAAAACTACAATAAATAAAACTAAAATGAAGTTGGCCATGAAAAGAAGCAAGCTTCTGCTTTTCCGCTCATAATGGTCTTGCAGATTTTGTCCATACCATTTTGTTTATTTTTTAGGATCGATGGGAAAAACAAGCAGGTAACTGGGAAGATTGTAGAACCTGAGGGGTCTATCTGTATATAAGAAAAGTTTGGAAATATTCTGATTAATCCTGGGATGTTGTCTTGAGTTTCTTCTAATTACATGTTGTGGGCACATGTAATTATAAATACCATGATAAGTTTAAAAATTATTGAAGATCAGATTGACACAAAGTAAAAATCGGATAGCACCAAGTGTTGTCACCAGAGACAGGCACTCACTGATGGTGAATGTAAATTGGTCCACTCACTTTGCAGAGCAATTGCAACACCTAGAAAAGCCAAAGATGCGCATGCACATCTCTAACCATCACTTGCATTCTTGGCATCTGCCCCAGTGCTCTGATTCTCAAAGTCTGGTCCTGGGACTGACGGCAACAGCTTCACAGGGGAACTAGTCAGAAATGCACCCTAGACCTACTTTTCACGGGGGGCTCAGAAATCTGTTTTATTAAGCCCTCCAGGTGACTCTAACATGGTTGGAGAACCAGTGCCCTTAGAGAAGTCCCGTACAGTGAGTCCCATGGGAGAATGCTCATAACAATATTGTTTACGATAAAGGGGAAAGGGGAATAAGCTGTGTGTCCCTCCACAGGAGAATGAATCAGATGTGGCATGTTCACAGAAAGGAGTGCCACATAGCAGTGAACAGTGAGTGAGTGACCTAGAGCGACATGCATTAACATGGATGAGCCTTACAAATATTAGATTGTGTGGGGAAAAAACAACTTAGGGAAATAAATATCAAGCATGATACTCTATAAATAAGGTTGAAAAACATGCAGGACAGTTTTATATATGTAGTAAAAAGTGGGAGGATACGAGAATGAGAAACAGTGAGTTCAGGTTGGTGATGACCTGTTAGGGAGAGGGTGGCCACTCCTGCCCGAGCCCCTGCTAGTTTCTCATTCCCCCCAACCCTCTCACCCTTCCTGGTCTCCATCTTCACTCCCTTACTTGGTAATAATGTCTAATCTCATGGCTTTAAGCACATCTCTGTGCTGTTGAGTGTGGGGGATGGAATTTATGAAGACTTGCCACGGTTGCCATGTCCCCCATACCTGTATGTAATAGCCTCCTTACTGGCCTCCCTGCTTCTGTCCTTATGCCCTTCAGTCTATTCTAAATATAATATTGTAGCCATTTTAAGATGTTTTACAACCATATTTCCCTCCTTTGCTCAGAACCTGTTATCAGCTTCCTATTGCATTCAGAACAGGAGCCCAGTTACTTGCAATGGCCAGAGGGCTCTTACCAGGCTGCCTTTATCTCCCCTATGTTCAGCCACAGTGGCCTCCCTCGCGTTCCTACAGCATGAGACAATTTTCCCGCCTGGCATTTATACTCTGGGCTCTCTTGGCATGGGAGAGTTTCCCCAAGGGGTCTGCAAGGTCCACACTGCCACTTCCTTCAAATACTTTCTCAAATGTCACCTTCCTGGTGAGGCGATCTGCCTGCTCACACTAGCACCTTCGGGCTAGCCCTCATCCCGACAGAGCAGCCCTGTGTCCCAGTAGGCACATCTCCGTAGAGTTGCCCTCATGTGGCCACGTTTGGGAATGGCAGTCTCTGAAGGACTGGTCTGAGAAGATAGTAAACAGAAGGAAAACAAGCAGATGGTGGTAATTTTTAAATTTTTACATTAATTTATGTAATGAAATCAGTTGTTAAATATTTTGAATACTTCGAATGTCTCTCTTTACTATAAGATATTCATTATTGTCATGAAAATACAATTGCTTTCTCCCCACAGCTTTATTGATACATAATTGACAAATAAGAATTGTCTATTTAAAATATACAACATGATGTTTTGGTCTACTCCAAGTTGAGAACCTCACTGCATATGAAAACTGATGGTATTAGGAATATCAATTATAAACACTATAACAATATGAATTATATTTATATAATGTGAGTTATATTATTTGGAATAACCTATTGAGCAATAGAAAAATCTTATAGTATATATTTTCAGAGAAAATGCTTTATATAATATTTGGTACATCAAAATAATATGTGTAATATCCTAGAACACATAAAGTTATAAAGTATAAGAAAACATGATAAATGTACGCCTATAAATCTACCACCTAACCATGAACTGGAACATTCCCGATATTATTGTTTTTTAAAATAAATTTTAAACTATTTAAGTATTTTTAACAATATATTGTTTATTTTTTGTTTATGTTTTAGCATAAAAAGAATGATATACATATTGTATGTAATTTTAAGCAACTGTAATATTTAATCAACATGTTATTAAGGCTCATTCATGTAGCTTGTGGCGGTAGTTTTTCATTTTCACTGCCTTGTAATATTCTATTGTGTGACTGTATCCCAGATTATTTACTTGTTCTACAAACCTTTTCTGTTGATAGACCTATGTTTCCCCACTGCTAGGTTATTGCTGCTATGAACAGCACTGGCTTGGAGGGTATGCAAATACTCAGCTTTACCAGATATCACTAAATGTTTTCTAAAGTTAGTATTTCAGAGTACAGAAGTGTTCACATCAATGTTCATTGTCATCACCTTAGTATTGGTAGACTTCATTTTGACGAATCTAGTGTATCAGCTCTTGTGCAAGAAAAGGCATTGAGATAGACTCTTCATCAGTGTTTCCACACTCACTTTCCAGTGTCAGTGAATGCCTACTGCTTCTTTGGGGATTTAAGTCTAATAATATTTATGTCTCCAGGATTAACCCCTGTCCAACCTTTTTCTTGTCTGGGAAGAGCTGATCCTATGAGATGTTTACTGAAGAAGCCGCCATTGCAGGGTAGTCCAGTGGTTTCTCAAAAGCTCATGAGCACGGGGGGTTTGTGATGAACAATTTGAAGCAATATTTTAATTAAGAGATTCAAGCTGTTTCTATTTTCCTAATGACCAGTGCTTGCTCTCTTTGTAAATTACATTCCCAGGCAAGATGACAAGGAATCCTTTGGGTGATTTTTTTCTCTCTCTCCTTTCTGATTTTTCTGGACTACAAATTAAGACAGGTGGAGTTCCTTCTTATACATTTCCCCACTGGGTTTCCTGGGACTTCCCCCAGCCCCCAAGTGCCTTCTATTTGCCTCACTGAAGAAATGAAAAATTGAGGTGATTTTCTAAAATGAACATCTTTATTGATTAGGGGCTGATTCTGACAGCATGTGGCCATCTGTTTAATTGGGTTTCACATCTAAGATGTAACTATACTTAGTAACGTGATTTATGAGAATTTCATTCAGTTCCCATTATCATTTTCTGATTTATGCCACTTAAGCCTGCTTCTGCATGCAGTAGAGACTTGAGTAGAAAATAGACGATTTTTTTTTTTTTTTTTTGCAAATCCATGGCTTTGTGTGAAACTCTAGAATTGGTGACCATCTTTCAATGTTAGATTTTTTTGCAGGGTGGGTAGACTTTCCTATTTTTCTACCCTTGTCAAGCTAGATAACAATGTCCTGAGATACAAAGTACAGTGAAATAATAGTGGTTTAAGTCTGCTGTACATGGAGTTATACTCAGGAACTCTTGCAGAATTGAATTATATTTGAACCAATAAGGTACTTAAAGAAGAACACAACAAGCTGAGGGCATCTGTGCCCAAGATGGTGCTTCTCTGCCTTGGTGATAACTGCAAAACGGGTCTACCTAGTTTTAGTGAGGAAATCGCAAGAGCCTTGATGGGAGACCCTGTGTGCCGCTGATTTAGTTGTATGTCCTTGGTTAAGGTGTTTCTGCTTCCTGACCCCTGTTTTCCTCATCTGCTACATGTTGAGGTTACCTAGCCCACAGTATTTTGAGTGAGGATTTAATGAGAGGAATTTAAAAAGTGCCAAAACATTGCCAAGTTTAGGGTTTGTGTGTCTAAAACTGGAATGTCAGTAATGCCTGGGATAGCCAGTCTGTCACAGAATAAACAGCAACATATGAACAATTTGGAAGGAAATATTTTGGACTTTTGATCTAAAAATATTTTTATCAATTAAAACACTATTTTTGTGTATCGGAGAAACACAACCAATTTTGAAAAAATGTCTGACAGTTTGTTGATATGTCCTATAACCCAGACATTCCATTTTTTGATGGCGGAGCCTTATGCTCACCAAGAGACTTGTGCACAAACATTCATAGCAGCTTTATTCATAATGGCAGAAACCTGGAAAGAACCTGATGCCCATGAACAGAAGAATAGGTAAATAGGTATAGTCATATAGTTGAATATTATATGGCAGTGAAAAAAAAAAAGAGCAAATGGCTCCGTGCTACAGTATGTAAGGACGCTGCTGACTCAGTGAAGCATTGCACAGTTCCATTCATTAAGTTCAGGAACAAGCCAATGAATTTGTAATTTAAGTGGTAGGAGATACAATAATGGCTGTTTTTGTTGCAGTATTGACTGGGAAGGGGCACAGAAAACATTATCTTGATCTGGGAGGTGGTTGCACAGGTGATACACATGTAAACACACATTGTGTTCTACCATGTAAATTTTTATGTATGTAATACCTCAACAGGTACAGTGACACCCTCATTCCCCCCATAAAATTATTTGGAACAGCATACAGCATGCATAGACATTTGGCATTAATAATAGGTTACCTAGGCCAAGCCTCCAGAGGTGTAGGCCAGCAATCAGCAAACTTTTCTGTG